GCACGGCGTGCCCTGAGATACCAATGCCGGACTTGGAAATGTATGGCAGTATGGACTTGATAGTGGCTAGGTTGCCGTGCAAGTTTCCGGAGAAAGGGTGGGCGAGGGAAGTGTTCAGGCTGCAAGTTCATCTTTTGGTAGCGAAATTGGCAGTGAAAAAGGGAAAGAAGGATGGGAATGGGAGGACGAAAGTGGTGTTTCTGAGCAAGCGTCGGCCGATGCTAGAGCTGTTCCGGTGTTTCTGAGCAAGGATGGGAACGGGAGATGTAACTTATGCTAGTTCCTTTGACTTTTTATTTTTACTTTTATTTTTTCTAAAGCCAGAGTCTCATAACCACTTTTTAAATAGGAAGGTATAGATAAATTATTCTTTAAAAATTATTAATTATAAAAAATTATTTATCATTTAAGGTATAATATTATCATGTTAAAAATTTATTTTTTACAGTGAAATCCTTCCATAATAAATTTATCCTTGTAGAAATTGAATACTGTATAATAATAAAAAAAAATGAACAAAAAAAATTAGAGAACATGAAAACAAATTGATTAGTAGAGGTTATTGTTCTTTTTTTATCTAATTTGTTTGTCTTGATATAATTTAAATAATATTTTAAAAGATTAAAATTGTTAACTTTGGTCGTATTAAATTTAAATAATAATTAAAAAAGATTTAATTTAACAAGAAAAATTTAATTTTAAATACATATATTTTTCATATATCCAAACAATATATTTAAAAATACATGTATTTGAAATTTATTTTTTTTATTCAATTCAAATAATACATTTTAAAATATATATATTTAAATTACATATATTTTAAATACATATATTTTAATTACACTCATCAAATTCAAATTCAAGTGTGGAGGATGGAATTTATATCTACACCTATTTGCAGCTAATTTAAGCGTTTGGCAAAAAAAGGACTACCCTCCAACGTAAGCACTGTTGAACTCTGGAAAATCAAAAGGAAAAAGAAAAAAGAAATGTGTTTATTGCAATCACATTTGTATTGGTAAGTTTTATTTTTTGAAAACATTAGTAATTTGTGCATAATTTTGTTGAAGAACTTAATGGTAAACTTAGAAATTAGAGGTCTAAGTGGGAGTAAAAAATGGATATACAAAATCATGTATTTTTCGATATTATTGAAATTTCCTGTTGTATTTTTTTTCATTGTAATTTATCTACTTTCAGACGTTGAAAATGAAATCCGCCCTTTAACATTTCGACTGAATTAAATGGCTTCAAATTTTAACTGCTGTTAAACATCAGCATTCCATTAATCCATTGGAAAATGCTATATCCACCCTCATCCTCTGCACACTCCGTGACACACATCCATTCTCCGTTATCTTCCCGTTAACTCCCTAACGGAGTCATCCCACCCCATCGTCACTCCGATGATTAGTGACTGGAAAACTATCCCAATTTCCAGCACCTGTGACACCAATCTCTGCTTCACCACCTGCGATTGCTCTCAATAAAACCTGCAATTTCATCCTTTAATTTTCTTTCTCTCTCTATCCCTCCATCAACACCAGATCTGAACATTTTTCCTTCCAATTTCTCTCTTTTGCTGGGTCAATCGAAGGAACCCAGCAGCGGCTGCTTTCCTGAACTTGTATGCCGTCGTCCACCTAAAAATTCCGTTCAATTCCCATCCCAGAAATTCGAATTAGCTTCTGAAATTGTCTGCAAATACGTCTTGCTTTTTTGAGAAGAAGGGTGATGAGCTGAAAGAGAGTGGCGAAGTCGCTTCAAGCGCTTGTAGCCCATGCCCTTCTCTTCTCTTTCATGCTTTTGCTCACTTTCAAGCTTGATTATGCTGTCACTTATTTTTGGTGGTTCGTATCTCATCCTCTATTTTTCAAAATTTCCCTTTCATTGCCTAGGAAGTTGGAGAAATTG